AAAAATAAAAATTAAAAAATTAAAAAAAATAGATTAAGGTGTTTGAGAATATGACCCCCAAATTTCGAAATAAGCTTTTATAGTCTGATAATAATTAAATCAGTCTTACGTTTTTTATTAGGAATAAAAACAAGATTCCTTTTATCAGATAAATAAATAACTATAGGTATTATATGTTATATGAAATTGTATTTAGTATTTTGAAATATAATTTTAATACTAATAATACTTTTTACAAATGTTAATTTTTATAATTACAAATTTTCTTATTACATATTACATATTATATTATAATAATTCTAACCATCGTTTTGTATATAATATACTTCTATAATCAATGGTTATACAAGGTAAGTATAAATTATCAAGCAGTCCATGTGATGAAAATCAAAAATCTTAATACGAAATCATTAACTTAGAAAATAATTTTATATTGTATGCACCGTAATTTATAATGCACCTGTTGGATAAAATTTCACAGGACCCGTAGACACGTTTATGGTGAAAATCTACTTATACTTAGAGAGTTAGAAGAGCAAAGTATTGGATTAACGAGAATAATAATATTATTATTGCAGTTTAGTTACCACGCAATGTTTATAACTTTTTTTTAAAACTCAGGAAAATCAAAGATTTGATTAATTGTATCAATACGAAAAAAATCGAGCAAACCATTAGTTTTTAAATAATTATGACATWACGTAGTGTACAAAGTACTTTGTAAAGCCGCAAGTATTATTTTAAACGCTGTAAGTAGGTRCCTATAATCTCCTCACCCATCAAAATAAAAAAATCCTGTTCGCGCTACTGCTGCATTGGTTTACATACAACTAAAGACATTATAGTGGTTAAGTTAGGTCAGGTTAGATTAGGGTTAGGTTAATTTAATCAGTTTAAAAAGTTTCATTTTATGATGTTAAGACCCACTAGCCTACTAAACTAACCAAGCCTAATTAGCTGTTATCTATTTAATATCGTATGACGTACATATTATAACTACTAATAGAAAAATAAATTTATTAGTATAGCAATGTAAATATATTTACACATATATATAAGATAAAATATAAACATGACGATTAGATATGTATATATATATAGATATCTAATATAGAATAAAATATGTTCAAATTTTTAACATCTTATAAAGGTTGCTGGTAGCAAATTTCATATAATTAAGTTGTTTAGACTGTTAACTTATTAAACTATTATAGAGACTAGAGAGTCAAAATTAGTAAGCTCCCACGAAAAAATTTTTTTTAGCTAAGTCAATTTTGTTTTTTGTCATGTAGATATCTATTTCTATTTAAAGGACGAAAAACAGCCGTCGTCTTGAAATTTTCGTCAAATATTTATATAGACATGATCAGTGGCGTATCCAGGGGAGGCACAGGGCCATGTTCCCCTCGTTGGCCATATTTATTAGATTTTGTGTTAAATATTTAAATTTATTCGTATACATGAACGTCATGAACGTCATGAACGCATATTACAACAATAATATGCTTCTACCAATGAATATTCTGTGGTTATACCAGTATTCAGTTATCACTTATCACTATTATCTTTAGAATCTATCCGTAAAGATGGTGATATTCATTTCAAAAATATATTTATAATAATAATTTTTTATGAATGAAAATTTGGATCTTTAAATTGAAAAATTTAAAGGATAATAGTTAAAATTATAACATTTAATTTGCTATTAAAAATTATTTGGTAATTTATCTTAAATAAAAAGTAACATTTTACATATTCATTTCGACTTAATAATAGATTAACACGCATAATCCTTCTTTATTAATTGAAACCAAAAAGAAGTTTATTACTGTTAATAATAACATTGAAAAAAATTCCAATTAAAAAGATTTWAAAAAAAAGTTGCTAACTATCTTTTAAAGCATTTAGTATTTACTATGTATAATGTTTAATTATTTATTAGTTTAAAAAAAAAACATTATATTTTCAATATGGCCACTGGACATGATACATTTAAAAAAATATTTTAGCACATTTTGACCTGTTAATAAACATTTGAAACTTTCATTTTACAAATTATTTTTTAGTTTCTAATCTCTATGCCCAGGGACGGCGCGAGGGGGGGCAATCGGGGCAGTTGCCCCGAGCCATTCGATTTTAAAATTATAATCAAGGCCACGCAGTTCTTAAATGATATTTTATACTGTTCAGAGATTAGTTAGCTAGYTTGGATAATATKTAATGTGACTGTTATTTATTTTGMCTGGGGCCCCGCAAATCCTAGCGCCGTTTCTGTCTATGCCAGTACCTAAAACTTATTATAGCTATTATGTGACAAAAAACATTTTTACTGGGTKATGGTAATAATTTTCGAAACATTGARTCCCTTACGTTAAAAGAATCACCTTGTAAAATATTACGTGTAAGGTGGTGCAGGAACTACCCCCTCGTGCCATTAATATCCAACTCAGTTTTTATTTTTTTTTATTTTAAATGAKCCTCAACAACAACTCAGTTTTATTATTTACATTTATAGTACCTATCATGAAAGCGTATATATTTTTATATTGCAGAGTTCAAGTGTCTAGTTCAAATAATCAGATTTTAAAATCGAATCAGAACTGTTTATAAAAAAATAAAAACAATGCATGTTGCATGCATAGAGATATATCATTTAACTAGGTGAGGTTTATGTATAAGTATATTATATATATTGGTGTAATAGTTTTTTTTTATTCAAATACCCTAGGTGTATACTGTATACATTATTCTTGCGTGAATGGCAAATATTAGGAAAAGTTGGCAGACGTATTATTTATATGTATAATGTATATATATATATAGTAAAATCACCCGTCACGTACACAGTTAGAATATTATTATCTAGTCATGAGTTGAGAGTAGGTACCTACGAGTCGTCTGCAGGATTTGAATTCCGTAACAATTATACATTTGTTTTTCTAAACGAAACATTTTTGAGTACTTTATTGTTGACTGAATAGTTGTATAAGATATTTACCAAGTGGCAGTCAGTCTGTAAATGATTTTGTCAAGCTTAAAAAAGTTGGCTAATATTTTTAATGTCATTCAAAGTGCATAACATATTATATTTATATATATAAATAATATAAAAAGTGTAACAGATTGAACTGACTTTTGGAATACATTTTGTTCAAATCTACATTTTTTTTTTTGGGCATTAAGTGACCCAAGCGCTTTTCACGTTTATTTTTAGTATAGAAAATAAAAAATAAATTTAATTTAATAAAAAATTGTTTGGATCAATTCAATATAGTCTATTTGTGAATCTGATTTTAAGAAAAATCTAAGTCAAGTAGGTAGTTTATTTTTTAGTATTTTTTTTTAAATTCAATATTATTTTGGTTAAATCAATTTGGAACGTAATAACTGTTTAAAATATGATTTTTGAGAATTCATTGACATGAGTATATTTCTTAAATTATTTATTGACCATATAATAATAACACYTTTTGTTTTTATACGTTTAATTAGTACCTATAATTTTTTTTTTTTTTGTCAGGTCTTTCTGTTATACCCTGTATGGCTGTATATGCGTATTACGACCAAATTTGATGATTGCGGCGTGTAGTAATTTGGTTTAAAGTGTAGGCACGATAAACATACATACCTGTTATATACCTACATATAATAATATATTTAATATTTATATACCTTATTACGACTTCCTCAACACACCGAAATTTCCACCAGTTAAAGGATCGCGAATTGTTTAAAGSTATGTAAAGTAAAAAAATAAATTAAAATCACATTTTGTCATAGACATCTTACTTATAAACTGAGTACCTATAGTCCTATAGTCTGCGCGACAGTACCTCGTATAATGTATAAATTAAAAAAATTCTCGCAATTCGTCATCAACAGAGTAGGTATGTTTATGAACATAATATTACATTGTTTCATACTTATTAATATTACTCGTTAATGTCTGTTTTCAGCTCTCCACCATTAATGTTCAATACGCTACATAGATAGAGTACATTTTGTTTTTAGTATTCTTGGGGTAAGATTACTAGTTACTATTACAAAAATTATAGAAGATAATATTTTTCAATGTTTGACATKCTATAGCTATATAGAATTTGAGACAATATTTAAATAAACTGAAGTCAAACTTTTAAAATTTGTATTTTCTATTATTTTAATAAGAAGTTATTTTATTCCAAGATTATTGAAAAACTAATTTTGCACGAAAACATATTACCTATAATGTATTAATGTCTATTCTCTATTGTCTATATGGGAGAGAGAAAACAAACTGCGCACCGACATGTTTCAAGTTTATTAAAATAAAACATTTTATTGTGAATTAGACATACACACAAATTGTACCTACAGATATAATATTTTATGATACGAAAACAACAAACTACGWTTATAATTTATAAAAATAATATAAAGCGTAGGCATTGGTGGTGCTTAGATTATATATATATATATATAAATAAATTAATAGTGTTTTTAGTAACGACTATTTTTAGTCTTTAAAATAGACGTGAATAACATGTTATTATGTAGAATATTTTAAAGGACAGATCGACAGCAATATTATAATATTTATTCGGCTATAACACCTGTAACCAACGTATTGATCCCAAGTCTGGATACAGAGTTCGGAAAGTAACAATGGGACTAGCAAATTTATTAGGTACRAAGGTTTACAACAAAGAAACGGTCGTCACTTCGTCAGTTGACAAGACAAATAGCAATCATTAGGGGAATAAGAAAATATGCGATTGATTGTTGTTTCGCGTAGCGAATGAAACTATGGTAGACGGTAGTGAAGGCGACTRATAACCATTTTATTTAATGTCGTGTTTGTTACATTCATAACAAAAAACCACACAAGGAAAAACATTTCTGTACTTTTTTTTTTCTAGTCACACGAAACACACAATGTACAACTACACTCTTTTGGTGGAATTGTACAAAAAAGAGAAACAATTTCAGAAAGTTTACACTACATTTCGACCTAATTTGAAAGGTTAGTTATGCATTTATGATAGTTTTACAGAGCATTTATTCTAAAACGTTTATCAATGCAGGGTGGAGCAGACCTCTCACCAACAAATGTTCTTATTTTAATCGTGGAAAACCTAAACTTTTGAGAARGGGTCTTTACCAAATGGTGGTTTATAGATGAATTTTATATGGACAGTAGACGAAAAATGTATTAAATCATTATTCTTTACTATGAATTAAATGAGGCAGTAATTTTATATTTTCGATTTTACCTCTACTTTCAATATAATATGCAAATASATTGAATTTTTAAGGTCTTCGAAAGTTTCCTGGATTCCTAATGTGTCCCAGTAAAAATAATGATTGATGACCCCAGCTTATGAGCATAGAAATATTTTTGGTTCATAACTGTTTAAACATTACCTGTATTTAAACTATTTTAAACACAATATGTAATTTATAGCATCACCTGTAACGGGAAAATTTTATGCTCGCCACGAAGCAAATGTCAATCAAGGTGAACCAAACAATCACTACATAGAACTTTTGGCACAAGCTAAATCCCTAGGACCAAAGAACAAATTTYCTTCTCCAAAAACTGAAAGTCAAAGGTAAATATTGAAGTGTTCATAATAAATTTTATGTCAATGAAAAATAATATCTTTTACAATATAATCATAGACCTTATACCTTATATACCTTATACCTGAGTATAAGGTCTATGGATATAATATACATTTTAATAATTGTAAAATAAATTGAAGCAGCTTGTCACTAAGTTCACTTTTTTTTTTTTGTAGATATGGGTGGTACGATAAATCCTTCATTCCACGAAATGAAGATATTTTGATGTTTCCTCACGTAGAAGCCCCCGAAATAAAACTAGACATTATACTAAAGCAAAATTATAAAAATGAAGTACCATTTAGTGGAATACCTTTTAAATTATAAAATAAAACTGTATATTTTCTTTTCGGTTTGTATCATTTAAACATTTTAAACAGGATATTTTTTAGGTATAGTACAAAATACCTATACAAATTTACTTTTTAACATTTTTTTTAACAGTAGGATAAATGCACAATATCATCTTCTTTTAAAATTAAAAATATTTCACTTACAGTTAATGTATTACAGACAATTTATTCCCACTATTATATTTCAATTTATTACAAAGTATAAAATATATTAATAATAGTTTTAAACTCAATTACTTCCCAATAATGGTCATTAAATGTTTGCAACATGACAACACCTTAGATGGTTCTGAATTAGATGCCATCAATTCAATGAAATCTCTAATTTGTTCCGTCAAAGTTGGAGGATATTTTAAACTTAATAAAGTTCCAATTGCTACAAAACAACGGAACATAGCTTCAGGTTCGGTCAGTCTTGGGCACACCATATTTATAGAGTTATTCACAGCTTGTATAGCTATTTTATCATCAGATTGTTTAATCATAACACTGAAATTCAGCATCAATGTGGCTACAGCAATCTATAAACATTTTATTAAAATCTATAAATTTCTATAAATTCAAATTAGAAATTAAGATATCAACAACTTTATCTCACTTGAAGGTTTTTTTGAGAGAGATTTTCATTAGGTAAATTTTGAATAAATTTTAAGAACTCTTCATAGTATTTGACAACAAGTAGTTCTCCTTTTTCATGATGCATAAGATTACATAAACACCTAAATGCTAACATCTGATTAGTAGGCTTTTCACTATCAAGGATATGTGGTAATAATTTATCCATAATAAAATTATTTGAACACAATAGATCATTCACATGTTTATTACGCACAGCCAGTCTTGTAATATCCAACACAGGAAATAAAATATCTTCAATGAAACAAATAATTATTAGTAAATGTACTACAAATTATAATATAAACGCTTATTTACCTTTAGGCCAATCAAGTAAACTGATCAGAACCTTTACATTATCCTCATCAGGAATAATATTAACATCACAAAGTTTCACTAGAGAATCAAGTTGTTTTTGGTTGAGTTTATTAAATGAGTCCCCTGCTTTTTTATTAAATTCCTCAATCTTACCTAAAATAGATAATAATTAAATGAAACACTAAGATAATATTTATCATTTAATATTATTTTTTAAATAATTTTTCACTAACCTAATATGGTTGTAGTATTGGCTTGATCAAATTTTAAATAAGTAGTCTGAGGAAAAAATTTGTTGTAACCTGAAGATGTTTGACTCAATTGTTCAGTAAAATGGTTTTGACTGTTCGATCCAGATGAAGAAGTACTATTACTAGATGGCACATACCTAGCAGCTCCTGTATAAGGATCTACATAACCTTGGCTAGCAGGTAATGGTGGAGGAGCAGTTTTAGAGTTTGAAATTATAAAGTTTGCCACAGTTTCCAAGTAGGATTGTGKTAAATTATGTTTGTGTATAAATGCTTGAGCCACCACCCAAGGATCTTCATCTCTGTTAAAAGGTAATTTCAGAGGGGGTGCTCCATCTTCAATATCAACATTCCATACAAAATCATACTCCTACAAATTATAATGATGCTGAAAAACCTTAAAATAACCATGAACAATATTTATTTGTTTAACTTACCTTTCCTTCGTACATGTTTTTATTTGGATCTGATGCACTTAAAACATCACCAATTTTATCCCATTTACATTCATTTGATAACCATTTATAACAAATAGGTTTTCCATTTTCATTAACCATTATTATCTGGCCGTCACTTTTTCCAGGTTTATACAATACTTCTGGTCCAGGCAAACTATAGAATATACATAAACAAAATTGTATTGTTTGTTTCATTATTTAATTGATACAAGATGTACCTATCAACTTTAATGCCACCAACTTCTTTTTGAGCCACCTGGTTAACATTGTCAACTTGTTCTTGGAACGCTGCTTGGGCTTCATTTGTAGCTTGGCGATTTGAATCTGTACTGAATATTCTTATCAAACCATCACTAATAACAATAATTAAAAATATTTTTATTACAATAGTTAGATGATTTAAAACATATTAGATGTATACATGTGTTTACTTATAAATTTGAATCGTTAAAAAGAATAATTTTTAGTAGTTGCATTTATTTGATCATAGAGTAAAAAATTAATCGTAATGATATTTACAAAGWTTTTAATATTACTCAATTAAGCACTGAAGTTTATTGAATAAACTATATAATAATTCAAGATGCAATACTAATAATTTGATAAAAACATACATACCTAGAACCAATAACAATATCTGTATTTGGAAGAATAGTTACAGCCCATATACTTTGTGCTGGTTGTAATATGACTTGTTGTTCAGAACTTTGCCAAACATTTAGGTATCTATCTTCTCCGCCAGTCACAACTAACGAATTAGTCATATCGGTACCACAAAAAACACTTATACTATAAACAAWACAAAATTATAMGTAATRTGCGATCAAGAGAATAATAGTGCAAAAAACCAAAACTAGCTGTTTTCTTCCACAACCCTGTTACTATATTATAGTATTGTTAGTAACAGGTGGGTTCACAGTCATAAGCACAAAAAGCTGATATTCTTTCAATGTATGGTCTATAGATCACCTATATTCTACTTCAACTAGKAGCAATAGTACGTCTACTGGATGCATTCAGCATTGTGAAGAGTAGAAGAGAGCAATATTTTATTGTTATAAGTATCACCCACTGATATGAAAGTATTTATTACTCTAAAAATTAAATGCTGTATAAGCTATATTGGCAAATGAGCGCTACTGCTGGTCATAAATGTGGTAATGGTAGGTTTTGTAGTTAAGAAATGAGTGGTGATGATCAGTGTTTGTCATCATCAAATTTTACTTTTATTTGGAATAGAGTACAGTTTTTGTTATTTTAATCTCAAATATAAAGTTTTTAATTATTTTACCTATAAATATAGCTAGGATGCCCATAAAATGTTTCTAAACATTCACCAGTTCCTGCACTCCAACGTTTTACAGTAGCATCATTTGAACAAGATAGAAATTCATCACCCAACAATGCTGCTAAATCTCTTACACAGTCAGTATGACCTTAAATAAAACAATATATTAATGTGAGACAATAAATAAATAAAACTAAAATGCAGGGCAAAAAAAAATTCATATACATACCAGTTAATTTTTTTATAGTAACAGATGAATTTTCTGGATCACCGTGTAAAATATTATGAACAAGTAATGTTTTATCTGCAGAGCAAGTTATGACTTGATTTGTAGACAGTTGTATTGAAGACCAAACAGCTGCTGTATGTCCTTTAAAAATTGTTAACAATACTGGCTGATAAGTATGATCAGGATTGACTGTTATTTTCCATAATCGTGCTGTCATATCCCACGAAGAAGTTAAAAATGTATTAGGTAATACACCAGGAACGATTTTACATACTAAAAATATAAAATAATTAACGAATAAGTAGGTATGTGTTTATTATTTATCCACATAATTTTCAATAATTTCTGTTGATGTTAAAATATTTTTTTTTATCCCATTAATAGGCAGATTGTCATTGGTTGATAGAACTTTAGAATAAAATTTGATGTCAGAAATCTTTTCAAAATAAACATTTGACTATGATATTGATTTCAACTTATGAACAGATATGTTGGCTCTTCCAATYCTTCAATACACTTTTAGGAGGAATCAATTAAAATTTTAAAATACATTTTTCTAATTTTTATTCAACTTCTRAAGACTATTAATAATTACTAAGCTTGAAAAATGATTGTTACTAAGTTGTTCTATCTATTAGAATTATTATTGTAATTAAATTATTATTATAATAAAGGTCATTAATATATAAATATATATTATATACACTGTACTTGCTATACTCTAAATTTTAAAGTGTTTATGGTTAAATTCTCTTACCAGTATTTGTATGTGTAGTTTCGGTAAAAACAGGTTCAGGTGATTCAGGAAGAAATCCACASATAAGTTTGTCATTACCACCGGTTAAAATGAAACCATTTGGTAAGATATTAGATTTTTTTAATATTGCAACTGATACTACATAGTTATTATGACCTTTGAATGTTTGAACTTCTGTGAAACCAGCATTTTCACTGAAAGTAGAAAACATGGTACAAATAAATATTAAGAATGGAGTTAATTTTTCTAGATGCAGTGGATTATTTTTGTATAAGTAAAAAATTATCTYTCATAATCTTATCTGTAGGTTTTAATGGTCKGTATAACGTTTAGTTAAACATATTGTGATTCCCAAAAAAGTGTTATATAAAATTTTTAAAAAAAAACTAGGCAAAGTAAACATATTATTAAAACGTTATACCCAACTTAGAATTGTCTAAAGTRGTTTCTTATTTAATACAAAATAAATGGTTAAAGGTTAAGTACCAAGAAACAAATTTATCMACTCAGTTCTATAGTTCAGAGAAATTGCTGACTGTTATCCTGACGTGCATTTTGTTTGGTTTTGACTTTTCAATAGCTATCAAACTCTAATTTGTAAATGTAAATACAATTATGTAACAAAGTATCACAAAAAAAAAAAAACTGTAACTAATGGCCTAAGATGCCGGGTTGTAACAAATAGATCAATAAAAAAAAAAACTCTAATTTGACAAAAACCAATTAGCCATTATAAACATTAAGTTAAATTAAATTAAATGTATTTATTTTGTGAACATTTGAGTTAACATTACAATATTAATTTTTTCATGAAATATTATATATTATATCTTATATTATTATTATTATTTAAAAACTTGAATACTATTTTTACTATTATCAATGAAAAAATACCCTATACCTACTTTAAGGCCTAGCCTTAAAGAATAAAAATAGACAAGTCATTATTTTATATTTATTAATGGGTATAAAAGATAAAATGTAAATTAATATTAAATTACAACTACCTATTTGTATTTTCTTTTTTATTCTTTTAGATACCTATACAGGTATACCTTATTA